GTCAAATCCCCCTTAATTACCAGAGATTTTATAGCAGCTTCATTATACTTCTGCTGTAATGCATTGTGGCCCTAAGGAGAAAGGGGTTGCAGGAAATTCTGCAGAGCATGTATAATTCTAAGCTGCGGTTAAAGCTTCTCATGAAAGCCTCTGCACTAAATTTATCCTTCTCTCCCCCCCTCCATTTCTTCTCATTATTTCAAGTACTTTAACTGAAGTAACACCACTAAAACATCTACCTAACTTCCTAAGTGAGAATTGATCTTTTCACAGATATTAGAAATAAAAATGGGGAATGAGCAAATGAACAGTGACTTATTTGCTGTGGAAATCTCAATACCTCCCCAAAATAGGAGTAACACCAATTTTAATCACATTGGTAGCATAAGCATTGCTCTGCCACTCTAACAATTCCCTCTAACACTAAACTTGAGTGGCATAGTATTTTACCAGTTGTAAACAAAATGAGATTACCAAAAAATACAGTATTGTTTTAAGGTAAGGTAGGTAAGGTAAAATAAGTCCGACAAACTAGGAGGACTTCCCAGATACACAAAAGTGTATTATTTTGCAAATTAAAATATAAATACATGTTTTAAAACTCCCAAACTGCTGGACAACTTTCATGTTCAATGCAATACATTGTTCAAGCTTCAACATTTTATAACAGGTATTTGGAGCTAGAAATATTGAGATGGACCCAATTATCACATGGGCCAAGGGCAGGAACTTCTGCTAGCAGATGGGGTCTCTCAGTCGTCCCTTCCCCACTACCCAAATCTGTTCCAGAACATCCCCCAACCTGCCAGAGATTAGGGTGGCACATGGAAGGGTCCTGGGAAGGAGATGTCTACTCTGCCAGTGATTTCCTGTATCTGATTTAATGACACCATTGCACACAGTCCCTGGGTTAATGGGAAATTAATGCTTTCCACCTAATGCATTTCAGGAGTTAGGAAAGGAAAAAGGACAGCCCTTTGCTGAGCTTCACTACTTATGCATAACCAGAAAAAGAACAAATACAGAACTGAAACAGGACCAAAAAAAGGTTCTTATTTGCTTCTGCGGTTACATGTACAGAAGCAAATAAAACAAATAGAATAAAAGAAATATTTCTATTATTTTAAATAGAAATAAAGCAGACTTCACCAGTGGCAAAGAATGTGGCTAGGTGATCTGTTTAGTTGCTCAATTCGCTAAGCAGTGCCCATGTTGAAGCTCAAGTCGCCCTGTGGAACAGGAAAATGACTTGGGCAGTTGACCTGATTGCACCTAAGTGTCCTCTCCACTCCTGCAGAGCCTGGTCATTTCCTTGCTATACATCTGAACTGAGGGTGATGAAGCCAGAAAGGGGATAGGTAGAGTGCAAGAGGAAGAAAAGTCCAACTGAACATGGCTTAGAACCCACTATCAAGCCTATTCTGTGGCAATAAAACTGGTAAACATTGGTATTTTGCTACCTGTGTTGCTTATTCACAGTGCCAGTCGAGCTATTTTGGATAGTAGTCTAAAGTCTCTTACCATCTGGTTTGCTGGATGAGACTCCAGAGCCCTCAATGGCTGACTGTGATGAATTTGTGTTGCACTTCAAGAGAAAAGCTGCTCAGATACGGTGTGAGCTATACTCCACAGTTAAATCAGCTCAGTCTTAGGGTGATGCATCCATTGCACCATTCTTTGGTCCTATTCTGATGGATGAATTTCAGTTATTGCAACCCAATGATGTGGACAAGGTTGTTGACTCTGTCCATCCTACCACTTGCCCACTCAACCCTTGCCTATCATGGCTTATTGGAAAATCCATGGAGGGGGTTCGTGCCTGGGTCTAGGAGGCTGCCAATGCTTCTTTGAGAGAGGAATTGGTTCCAGCCAGTTAAACAGGCAGTACCACTCCTAAAATAGCAAAACCTGGACCCAAGGATAGTCACCAACTACCAACTGTTAGCAAACCTCCCCTTTTGGGGCAAGTTGTTGGAGCAGGTGGGCAGCTCCAGGTACTCTTGAATGATTTTCTAGATCCATTTCAATTCTGTCTTAGGCTGGGGTTCAAGACAGAGATTGCCTTGGTCATCCTTTGCTGGGAGAGAGACGGGGCAGTGCGACCTTGTTGATTCTCCTGGACCTCTCAGCAGCTTTCGGCACCATTGACCACGGTGTCCTTCTGGACAGGTTGGTTAGGGTGGGAGTTGGGGACACTGCTTTGCAGTGGTTCCACTTCTTTCTGGCCAACTATGTTCAGAAGGTGGTGCTGGGGAGAATTGCTCTGCCCCATGGTGGTTGCACCATGGGTTCTGCAGGCCTCTATACTATGCTGTTCAACATCTGCATGAAACCACTGGGAGATCATCAGGAGGTTTGGGCTGCTGTGCTATATATATGCTGATGATACTCAACATTACCCCCATTTATATCCAATCCAAGAGAGGCAGTCTTTGTGTTGAACCTGTGCCTGGCCTCAATAAAGGACAGGATGAGGGTCAATAAACTGAAACTCAATCCAGACAAGATGGAAGTGCTGACAGATTGGAGGGTCATTATCATGTCCTGGATGGGGTCGCTCTCCCCCTAAAGGGCAGGATCCACTGCTTGGGCATGTTCCTGGACCCAGGACTATCACCTGAGGCTCAGGCGGACTCAGTGGCAAGGGGAACATTCCTTCAGCAAAAGTAAATATATCAACTTTGCCCTTACCTGGGCAGACATTACCTGGCCACAGTCCCTCATTCATTGGTAACATCCAGATTAGATTACTGTAATGTGCTTTATGTGAGGCTGCCTTTGAAGATGATCTGGCAAATCCAGCTGGTTTAACACTGGGTCATGCATTTAGTAACAGGTGCCAATTTGATGGTCCACATAACAACAGTTCTATATAAATTATACTGATTGCGAGTTGAAGCCCTGGCCCATTTAAAGTGCTTATTTAAACATATAAAGCCCTAAATGGCTTAGGACCTGGCTGCTTAAAGGACTGTCTTCTCCCATATATACCAGCCCACCCATTAAGATCTGGGCAGAAGGCCCTTTTAAGAGAGCCATCCTCAAGGAGACTTGGCAAATAGAGGAACTTTCTCAGTGGCAGGCCCCCATTTGTATAACAGGCTTCCTAGAGAAATTCAGCTGGCACCAACATTGCTCTCTTCTTGGTGCCAAGCAAAAATGTTTCTCTTCTTCAGGTATTGACTTTAAATTGTTTTTAATACATGGCTGTATATGGTTGTCCCATCACCTGATAAAGTTTTAAATGACCATTGTTAAATTGTTGTTGTTTGATATATCATTAATGTTATCATTTATTTTGATTACCTGCTGTAAGCTACTTAGAAATTCCTGTTGGAATAGTTTTGTGAGCTATAAATGCAAAGACAGACAGACAGACAGACAGACAGACAGACAGACAGACAGACGATTGGCAACTTCAAGGTTGATGCTTTTCTCCCTTCTTATGACTCTATCTTTGAAGAGAGATACCTTACCTTTTCTACATCCCACTCACCAGACACCAATTCCTGTGTTATCTAGTACTAAAGGGCTGTTTTGGGGTACAGAAAATCCTCAAACCTATGTGTTTTAGTGGCATATATTGGAGTGAGGATCTGATGGATGAAGAATTGATGTGGATTGAAAGGAAAAGCGGCAAAAAGATTTCATTTCACTGAATAGGAACATCTCATGTTTGGTTGCAAGGCTGCTTCTGGGATCTCCTCTTTTTTTAGGATGGAAAGAGATCTCCCAATCTACCAGTTGATCCTCCATTCTGTGAGATGGATACCAACATCTGGGTGAAAGATAATCCTTTGATCCTGGGAGATGATGACTAGTCACATTGGAAGCCCTATGTAGTTGTTCTCAGACAGGTGGAGGTGGGTGAACCACCCCTGCTGGGGCCACCATGGTGTGACCAGGATACAGGAAGTCCTTTCCCTCCAAATCTTCACCAACACCCTGGTGACAAGTGGGAATAGAGAGAACAAATAAAATGGGGTCCTTTCCCACTGGAGAAGGAATGTGGCTCCTGATGTTCCATGTCTGATCCTCGCTTGGGAGCAGAAGTGGTCTCACATTCCATTTGTCAGGGTGATGAAGAGGTCCACCAATGGAATACCCCAGGTCTGGAACAGCTGTGTAATGACCTCTGGATGCAGCTCCCATATGTGGGTCCCCCTGGTCCTCCTGTTGAGGGCATCTGCTGTAATGCTGATGGTCCTAGCCATGAGGGTGATCCTTCTCCCCAGGCACCAGTCCCATATCTGGATCATGAGGTGGATCAGGGCGAAAAATGCATGCTTCCCTGCTTGTTCAAGTAAAGCACCGCTGAAGGTGTTGTCTGAAGCTACTTTGTTTGTTTGTTTGACTTGTATGCCACCCCATTAGCCATAAGGCTCTCTGGGCAGCTCACAACATGTTGCTACAACCGTTAAAACAATGCATAATACAGTTTATACCATAAAAACCAACAGTCAAAATTAAATCAATAATAGAACCTGACATACAAATGAACAGTCAATAACTTAAACTATTAAAAACAATCTTAATATAAGTAAAGTAAATTTAAACAAATTTTAAGTTTAAATAAAGTACAAAAATAAATTCTGGTGCAGGAAGCAGCAATTAGCAGCGTAAACCATTAAACAGGGATTGGACATATATATTTTAAGCACTATGAAAAAAAACTGACATTTGCTTTCTGGACAAAGAAACTTTTACCATAGAGGAGTGTATGTATGTCTTCACCCTTTAAAAACTACAAAAACTTCTGCAGGTACATACAATTCCCCATATAATATTCTGATTACCAGCTTGATCATATGAACAGCCTAGAAAAAGCTATATTATATGTACCAACACTTTCAAATCATTCGACACATTTACGGAGTTGTCAATCTTTGCCAGGTTCTGCATCACAGTATCAAACTGGCAGAGAACAGTAGAATTAGCTAACTTTGGAGTTTTCTGGATTTTTAGCATTAAAAATGAATACTATTTGTATAATCACTTAATTATATTAGTAATTTTTTATTATTATATCATTACCACATTTCTTACATTAATTCAAATATTTTAATAAAAATAAAAGTTCTGATAAAAACACATATCTTAATAAACATCCAATATCAAATAAGTGCTGTAAGCCAGGTGAAAATAGCAACCAGATTCAAGGAAAAATAAAGAGAAATACAACTGGAAAATGTTAATCCACAAACAAGCAAGCTGCAAACAAATAATGTATGTCATATTTCTGCTTCAAGAAGATGTTCTAGCCCACATGCTTGCAAGCTCAGAATGTCAGTGCCTAGGTTCCACCAGATCTCACAAGATCTGGACACCTTATGTACAAACTATGTACAATATGTACAAACTATAGTATGTACAAATACTTTGCACAAAGTGCATCAAGCACTATAAAAAGGAAAATTGCTCTCTTCCACATATTGTTGGGACTACAACTGGATTACGCAAACCACCCAGAAGCTTTGGCTGTGAGGCAGTATAGAAATAAAAACAACATCTCCCATCACCCCTGGCCATTAGCCATGCTATCTGGAGCTGACCAAGTTCAACATCTGGAACCCAGAAAGCAATGTTATGTAGACTTAGCTACTAGCCCAAAGCATCTTCTTAAGCGGAGGAAGAATATGAATGTGGAAAGAACATGTGGCTCATCAGATTTTGCTCAACTGCAGCACCCATCAGTACTTGAAACCATAGCCAGTAGTGAGAACTGATGGGAACTGGAGTCTAACACCTAGATGGCCACATGACTTGCACACAGCATAGTTTAAGAGAGTGACAGAGACAAAGGGAAACCTATGCTTCCATCATCTGTTCTCTCAAGAAAAGGGACTTCCAAATTTCCTTAGCTCTTGATATTTCATGTGCACAGGTGGTGCAAAAAAGTGTGGCAAATGTATTAGATGCAGCTTGAAAATTGTGAGACACTTAGTAGAGGTGTCTGAACTTCCTTTCCCCCTGCCCTTCACTTTTTGTAAAATCTGGTGAAAAGACCTGGTGATCAAAACAGCCTCACCACAATTTGTGCATGCTCGGTTGCTCTTTGGAGACTTTCTTATGGACTGGCATGGCTTATTTTTATACATATATGTGGACATTTATTACCACCATTTCTGGATATAAACAAATACCCATCAGGAGCCAGAAATAAAAGGCAGAAGGATCAATCCTCCAGTTTTTCAAAATTGACAGGGATTGTGGCTTGGGTAGTGGTACAAACATCTACTGGGAACAGAGAAGTCATGCTTAGGAATCTTCATTCCCCACATATCTAAAAATTCTAAGGCTGCACTTCATTAGGCTGTACCTTTCATTAAACTCACACAGGGTTGAGCTGAAAGTGAGGAGAAAGTGTGTCCATTCTTCTGAACACACATGAACATTAGAAATTAAAATTTAAAATAATTAAAATTAAAATAGAAGAGTCCATCTAACATAGACTCTTCTATTTCACGATTACAAATGATGAGGCTCCATTGGAACTGTTTAAAAATGCTAACATATCATAGAACAATGGTTGCTTATTTTTAAAAAGAGAATATATTTAATGCAATTTTCCTCTACTTGATGCCCTCCAAATGAGTTTGACTACAATTCCTATCATACCCAGCCAACATGACGGTAGATTATGGGAGCTGCAATCCAACACAACCAAAGGACATCAAGAAGTCTGCTTTAACTGAAAGGCCATATATAGATAAGGACATTTGGAACAAGAAAAGGGGTGCTGCAAGAAGAAAAGGTGGCCATTGATTATTCATTTATAAAAGGAGACATTGATAGGAAGGAATCCTTGTAACCTGGACTTCCTGTCAACTTTTATGAAAAGAACAAAAACAAAGCTTTTTATAGCTTACATGTCACAGATTGTTTCCTTAGGAAAAATCTTTACAAATAAGAGCCAGTAAAGTGAGCTTGCAAAGGTTCAAAAATTGGGGAGTGAATAATTTCTTGCCTTGTAAAGAAGGAATGTACTTCCCAGAACACAATCACATCTAGAAAGGGCTTCGGTGTCACAGAAACCATTGGCAGCTGTGTTAACAGCAAAGGAATTGGCTTTGTACACCAGTACAGTTATTAAATTTCTTCAGAGACCATGACTCATTAATCAAATATTCATACATCTCTGTAAATACATGGTAGACAGAGAACAGCCTCAGAGCAGAACATCTCAACACAAGCACTCTTTCATGTAGGGCTAACAGAAATCCTGAGAACAAGGGGTCAAGTTGTGCATTCCTGATGCTCTATGTACCCCAATTCCTAAAAACAGAACAAAAGTGATCTTACTGATGGCAAGTGTTACAAAGTTACAATTAAAATGACTCTACAATGGCTGCATACCATCTTTTGCTTTTAGCAAAACAGGAAGATAAAAGGAACGCTACTGTTCTTTGTTTACCATCGGACAAGTTTTCCCCAGCTGGATGGAGAAATCAAGACTGTGCTCCTATTAATGTAAGAATTTGTATTTGCATGAGCAAATAACATTTGGCTGTTTAAGCTCCAGAAACTAGAACATTCTGCCTCTCTGTAAAGGAATTCTTCCTTTCTTTTGCTTTTCGTCCACTCTCACAAATCATGTTTAGCTTGCCAACACATTGGGAGCAGGTATAGTAGCAAATGGAACACTTGAATCAGGCCAAAATTTTCCAAGAGAGGCAATATATTCAAATGCACCTGCCACTTTAGGCATGATCAGCCTGGGCTTGGGGTCTACTAAACTAATTGCCTATATACAAGGAGGATCCACTAGTTACAGAATCATGGAAGGTTTTAGGCCAAGATTTAACATTCAAAAGGGAGAGTTAAAAAACCTCCTGACTTACCAAGATGGGCTCATAAATGTTGGTATCCATAGTTTTGTTCTGCTGCACAGTTAGCCTCACACGTTTGTTGTAGTTCCTTTTGGACCTCAAATTCACCATTGAAATCCTGGATTTGCAGACTCATTTGCAGTTTATGGAAATTGACTAGAACTACATGACACAAGACCATTTATTTACTTATTGGCAGCACTTGGGTCCTATCTATAGGGCAAGTGCTGAGGCTTCTGATCCTTTGCAGCAATGAGAATGCCTTTAGCACATCACATTTTTATTTCAATAGGGTCTTACAGCTTACTATTTCGGTAGTACTTACAGCTACTGGACTGTTGAGAGAAGTCATTGTAGATCTGCCAGAGAAGATGTCAGAGGAGGCTAAAAGTGAGATTACATGAATAGGGAAGTAGTGGGTATACCAGTGATTTACAATTTTTGGCTTCACATGTGCTTGTGATAATTCTGACTGTATGGCCAAAATATGAAGGTCTAGCTAGTATTTTGAGCTCAGGAGTGAGTTAGAATTACAGATACATTGGTTCAGCATTTACGGCATCTGGCTGGCACCAGATGTTCCTTCAATTGCATAGGAAAATATAGGGGGAAGGGAGTGACTACGTAGTAGAGGTCATGGTTTGATGTAAGATCTGAATGATGGAATTGACTGACAAGGTTTCACAGGATATAGCAGGGATTTAATTTTTTTTCAGGCTTAATATGAGCGCTTTTGTGAAAAATCTGGAGACAGCAAACACAAATACAGATGCAGGCAGAATCTTCCTTATGCAAGTAAGTACTATTATGGTTTTGTATAAACATGACCAAATTGTCTACAAAACTGAGATCAATGTTTAGCCAAAGGCTGTGACCTATATGAAAAGCTGAAGGAACTGACCACACACACACACAGTAAAGTCCAGGCCCAGACTGGGCAGGCCTGTTATGAAGATAAATGAGTGTGTGCCTTGTGCACTGAGCTCACAGTTAAACTCAAATGTCCATACTTCTCAATAAAGTTCTGGCCATTTTAATCTCACTTGCATCTTCATTTGATGTGTTGTGGTGAATAACTAAAACCAGGTGATTTGTAAAGATGCCTTTAAGAAAATAGGCAACTGCTGGGTGTGTGATAGCAAATGCTAAGGCGGTTTGTGTTCAGAAACAGCAGCAGCAACAACAGTAATGACACAAATTAATTGCAGAGATTTCAGGGAGATAATGCAGGAGAGGTAACAAGAATCACCATGTAATTAACGTGGTTTCAAATTAAAGTCCTTTGTAGTTACTGAAAAACATTAATTTATAGTAACTTAGTAATTTAACTTGTCACCACTGTAACACAGGCCTAAAGATAAGGACAATCTACAAATGTGTCAGAGGTAGGATGGGATGCAGATTACTCTGTAATGTTTGTCTTTCTAGACAATATTTTGCTGGCAAAACTGAGTTTCAAAAATGTCACTTTTCTGTGTAAAATTATCAGACTTTTGGGAGATACAGAAAATTGGACTTGGATGCTACAGTTTTGCAATGTATCCCATTACAGTATCTCAATTCATGAGGAAGTTCTAGCTTGTGTGAGCCTATAGAAATACGGCAATTATTTTGTCCAACAAAGAGTTGGTTTAAGGAAAATGGGAAGAATATTCATCAAATCCTCTGAGGATCTGGGGAAAAAAATCAAGGACTTCTTTTTGTACAAAATTATTAGATGGAATTTTATTTTTTTGGTATGGCTGTAGCAGTTCAACTATTGGCTCCCAGTTGACAGAGAAAGCCCAAAAACATATTTTGATGGGTCTAGAAGAATTATATTAGGGGGAAAAAGTTTTCTCCTAGCAGGCTAAATACGGTCTCAATTTTGTGAACTATCTTAAAACTCTTATTGATTTGCCCTAGAGAGTTTTCCTTCTGCATAATTGCTCACTAGGTGAGCTCTTTTCCTGCTGGGAACCAGTCAAATGGCAAAAGATGAACAGAAAATAAAGACTGAACTTAAATAGAAGCTAAAAGTACAATAGAAGAGAAATGCAATACTTTAGCTGTTTAGGAGGGCACAAATGGTATTTTGCACCAATTAGTGAAAAAACAGTTCTGCATGCAGACATACAGTTAGTATATTATGTCACAGGTTTTCTGTGATTATTGCACCTATGTCTCTGTCACAGTAAATTCTAAAGAATGAAGCATAAAGTGGAAAACATGAAAATTCATTCAAGGGATCTGTGGTTAAAGCTTTCTCTGTGTTTATAGATACTCTGCACTTCACTGTAGATACAGGAAATAGTGATGTTTAAATAGCAAACACATTTGATAGTGTTTATTTCCTGGTTTTAACAACAACATTTTTACTTTTAAAGCTATGCTTATTAAATAATCAATTTATTAGAGTAGAATAATTCAGACTGATTGATAGATGCAGAAGTGTTTAAGGCCATGTTCATTTTAAAAACAAGAATGCATGAAGAGAACAAGATTGCAATCCTAACCACACTTATTAAACTTGCTTCTGTGTTAAAAAAAATAGGATTGCACTGCACAATTTATAAAATGTCCTTAATTATGTCACTGCATAAACCCTAATCCCACCTGTTAATTGCAATCCCATTCAGCTATATCAGAATGTTAATACTGGTTCACAACAACTAACCAGAGCATTTAACACATCTTAACTTGTGACAGTGGAACAAAATCACTTCTGCAAGAAAAATAAATAAATAAATCCAAGGGCATTTCACATTTTCACGTTTTATAAAGCATCCATTTTCTTTTCTTTCTAAAGTGATTGGTACTTCAAAATGCACAGCCTCCATTTACTGTTGACTCCTCATCCTGCAGTTAGAATGATTTAGAAGCTGCCCTGTTAAGATTATAGGAATCCAAATTATATTTGGGGAAAAGAAACAAACACAGCTCCTATCTAATAATTGCTTTTGTCTACTGCGATTGGTAGTAGTTTAATATTAGTGACATACCCTTCCAAATCATTGGGGAAGCCAATACTGCATTACCTCTTCCTATTACGGTTCAACCATGATCTTAATGAGTGGCCATTACAAGATCTTATTGTTAAGCAGGACCTTAACTCACTGCTCAGCTTACAAAATTGCCAACTGTTAAAGAGTGGATATACTCTTCAGCAACATGCAGTGCAATACTGGCATTTTATGATTATATTATTAAACATTGTTGAGGTGCAGGTAGAGTAACACTAATATTTTTATTCACTGGTTCTTGATCAGTTAAGTTTTTACTGAAGGTAAGTAAGGTTTTACTCAAGACAACAACCTAGGTACTTGTTCTTAATATATTTTAGTCCATATTAAAAACCTGTCATACGAGCTACTTCACACGTCTGCCTTTAACTGGATTGAAAGATGACCTGCCAAACCAAATTTCACCACAATATTCAGACACCTGTTGCATCACAGGTACTCTGAAGCAGGTATCTATAAAAATGTGAAAAAAAACTGAGTGAAAAGCAAATTAAATAAAACAGTTAACTAAAAAAAAAGTAACAGTTCTCCATCATCAAGAACTGATTTGAATCTGACATGGTTAAAAACAGCAAAATATAGTATAAAACATTCTAGAGGTCAAGCTTGGCACATCATAATTCTACCATATCAGAATGACAATGATATCTTCTTGTACAAGCACATCTATTATGTGCATCCACTATAAAATAAAATGTTTACCATTATACATTTACAAGATGATTTAGGCACAAGCTCACATTGCAGAGTTTGAACATTCTGCCAGTACTCAAACCTATGCAAGAGATGGACTACACTATGGTGATTAGCTTGATGGACATGCCTAATCCTCTATCCTCTATAGCCCTGGGACTCCAAGGCCCTCCAGATGTTGGTGAACTATAATTCCCATTGATCTCACCAGTGGCCATGTTGACTGGGGAAGTAGGAGCACAAAACCATTTGGCAGGCTGTAGTTTCCTAACGGTGAGGGTAAGCCACCGCCACCACCTCAACAAATCTTTTATAGTTATTGCTGTTGTCATTAAAGCTGCTTCCAGTGTCCTAAGCTCAATGTAGGCCTACTCAAGAACCCAACTGTTCAACAACTTGTACAACTGCTACAAGTGAGTTGTATAAGTTGTGCTGCTGAAATGTATTATATCAAAATCACTATCTGCCCAAGGCTGGAAAATAAGTGACATGCCCCCCAAACCAGTTGGCCACACAGGTGTCAGGAAACACTAGCTGGTGAGCAAGGGCTAGGACTACATTATGTTGTGCATCACCAGCATCTGCTTTATGGCAGACAAATGGTTTCTCTTTTCAGCACCAGGTGAATATCTATTGTCCCAGAACTTCCACATCTCTTGATTTTAACTCTGCCTTTACTAATTATGCCATAAAATATATTTATTGACTTTTGTTTTAATCCCTATTGTGAGTTTTTGGAAGAATCTCTAGCTTGATAAGTGAAATAACAGAAATTTACATAAAAATACCTGGAAAAACACAAAAATAGTTCATATGCTGCTCCTTGATATATATGTTGGGAAAGGGTAAGAGAGATACTTCTTTCACCTTTATATTCATCCAATCCAAGTCTGTGCTAGATGGAATTCATGTCCTAGAATGCAGAAGTCTGAGATATGCTGGCAGCCACCATATTGGAAATAGTTGAAACACTGCTGCGGCATTGCTCTGTCTCTTGCCATCTGAAATATTGTGGGTAACCATGCAAAACAGGGCCTTCTTGGTACTTTGTATATACTGAAGAACTCTTTCTTCCCTTCATATGATTTGCAATACATTGAAATTCATTTGGAAGAACTTACAGTTCTAGATAATTCTATTGGTTTATTGTTACCTGCTCAGGGAATTCATGCTTTTTCTTATGGTATTTAATTACATTGTACCTATTGTTTTATACTACTCTTAAGCCTTGTTATAAATTCTGATAGGTGGAAAGGTTGGGCATATTTTAAATGAATAAATAAAAATGTCTTCACAACAATACAAAGTCCTCAGTACTAAAACATTTCAGCTTTTGGTTTTCATCCTCAGAGAACGGGACTTTCTCTTCCTGGCCTGGATTCATCTCAAATTCATAGTCTCTAGAATGTCCATTTACAAACGTAAACAAGGGATATTTCTCCTTAGATGAAGATTTCAGAATCTACAGTAAAACACAGTATCAAAGAAACACATTAATTAGAAGACTAAAACAATGCTTCTTCTACATGTCTGCATTCATCAACTGAGAATTTAATTTAATTTCTGCATTCATCAACTGAGAATTTACTTTAAACACCGAACAGAAAACATTGCACATAAGAGATTAAAACATTGCCAACCATCCTTTCTTGCATTTCTGGTGTATCTTGAAGTGCTTCATTTCATAAAACTTCCCAGACATGTACACATGAGTTTTGCGCTTGGAATACCCACATTTTTGCACAATAGAAATCCACACTATAGCAGAATCACAACAAAAGATAAATAAATCACTCATACTTTGTCAGTACTTTCTAAAAAGATCTGGATGTTAGTGATTTCATGACCAAAGTAAACTCTGAATTGGGAATTTCTGGCTCACAGTTCTAACACAGCAGCAATTTGGGCTGCTACAATTTTAATCAGGCAAATTATGAATATGGTTACAACATATTTTAAAGGCATATTATTCCTCAGATAAGCATCAATTTAGGAAGACTGGTCAATTTAGAAACTCAAAAATAGTGTTAATGACAAATTAATTTGACACATTTAAAAAATCTAAATAGCTTGACAGGATTAGATACTTTTTAAACAATCAGAACTCAGAAAAGCATGCTTGCAGTAAAATCTGAGTCCACAATTTTTAGTGTCTTCTGCAGATTTACATTTTATTTTACCCTACTTTAATCACATCCTCTGATGATAACTTACAATCAGTAGCAAGCAGAGAAGAACAGAAAAAGGAAAATCATCTGGAAATTTTTAGTCAGGTGGTACAAGGCAATAGATCTCAAGGGACAGGATAATAGGATGCAGCTTTTTATCGTTTGTCTATTGGATCAATTCAACCCACATCAGACCAAGAAGTTCATGGCATTCTGATGGTTGTTTGGTAGCCTGTGAAATTAGCTGGCAGGCCTAATCCTCCTAATTGACAGGTGTCTTCCAACATGACAGCCACCAAGTAAAAGTGGCTTATCACTTTTCCCAGTGTTTTATGAGTTTCTTCTCATTAGAAAAACAGGAGAGTGTACACGCACGCACGCACTTTTGCAATTCAAATCTCTGCTGAATACAAAGTGCTACTATACAGAAATGTGCTTGGGGAGGTGTGCAGGTCACTGATAACCTGAATCAATTTTCTGACTGGAGTCTACCTCAACCTTGGTCTTGCTTTTTGAACATTCTCAGCATTCGTTCATATATTTCTGAGTTCTCGCTCTTAACCATGAGCCAGAAACCTTCCTTCAAATGATGTCAAATTCCAAGACAAATACAATTTTGTCACACAAACAAATTGCATACACATGTGGGTGAAAAGTACATGTTTGTGTCCATTTCAAAGGAGAATCAAGTGTTCAAAATGGCTTGGGGCATTGCTAAAACTGATGTCCATTTGTTTTAGACAAAACAGATGTGTTGTTACAGAAGCAAGAACTCCCTTCTAATCTAAGTACTTGTATCCACAGGGATGACTTTGGAACAATTCTCGTGGAAGCACACACATGAAAAACGCTACATCTAAACTAGAATGTTTTTTTCCCAAGGATATAGTAATTTTGATTACATAGAGAATCCCCTTATCTACAACTCTGAGAATTTTAGTGGCTAAGAGCTTGCGTCTGGAAGACCAGAATTCAACATAATAGCCTCAAACAAGCTAGTCTCTCAAACACATTCCCAACCTGCAAACAATTATTCAAATACTAAGGCGACTACAAGAACAGCATTAATTTTATTCTATTCAAAAGAAGAACATGCGCAAAGTTGAGCATACAATAACTAACTACACAAGGAAATTTCAATTACCAAATGGTATAAGGAATGGGAAACATGTGCCCCACCCCCAACCCATAACTCCTTTCAGCCCTAGCCTGCAGAACCAGTGATGGCAGAAGTTGGGAACAGCAGTCCAACAACATCTGTAAGCAACACCTTCCCTATAACTACTATACAGAACAAAAATGAGTTCATTATTCACTCAAACAGAATCTTATGGCACCTAGATAGTGTCTGAGGGGCTATTGGATAGTTCAGATTCCCTGATCCATGGTCAGAGACAACAGTACAGCCTTGGAAAAGGGATTAGGTGCCTTGAACCCCTTTGCAGCTGTTGTCAGGAAATCAACCTCAGAGAAAGGGGAAAGGGGCATTTTGGTGGAGAGGAGGAAATTGAAAAAGCCTGCTGCTTCTCCAACCTCCTCTCCCCCTCCAGAACACCTTAGGCAGGCAGGTAAAAAAGCAAGAGTCGGCAATTTTTTAAAAACAAATTTTAAAAAGCAGAGTGTAGAGAGTGGAAGGCAAAGATCACTTCTGTCACTCTTCCTGCTCTGCACTAGATAACTCTAAACCTCTAATACTGTACCCTAATACTTTCTAAATCCTTATTATTATTTTGACCTCCACAACACTATTTCTTAATACCTTGGAGCTTTCAATGTTGTAAGGAAAGGTTGCATGCAAACCTTTGCCTATGGCAACTCCCAGACTAATGTTCATTATTTCATCCTAGTGTACTGACATTTGAATGTCTATAATGCTTTTAAGCAATGTAGCACTTTATAACAAGTTGATGAAAATGAAAGGATAAGCTAGATAAAAATGAGTGTGAACAATGAAGAGAAAATGGAATACTTTAGTGAAGAAACAGAATAAGAACTTATTTTACATGTGTAAAACAACTTTCTTTTCTCTTTCTTACTTTGTTAATGCATAAACAAACCTCTGTTTACTTGGACCCAGAATGCATTTACTTTCATCATAAATTTAAAATTGTGTTTAGTAATGTTATCTGGAGATGTAGCAAACACAGTTATACTAACAAGTAATAATGCACAATTTAGTTTGATTTAATATTTCCATTTACAATCATCCCCAAGGAATTGATTGCCTCAAGATTCTTTGCATAGATGATAATTCAGTGGCTGAAAAGGGAGCTTTCTCTAGAAATATTTTTGTTTAAATGCTGCCACCTAGTGAAATAATGCTGTATTTGGGTCTTAATATGTGAAATCCTGGCTCCCTCCAATGTACCATCTCAGAGGTAACTCAGCTTCCACAATACACTTGTAAGCACACCTTACCAGATTATTTATTCTGTAATAATACAATTAAGCTTGGTCCATGCCTTGCTCCCAGAATTAACTTTAAGACGCAGCAGGTTTCAAAAAGAAGAGCCATTTCTTCTGCAACTATTTTGTGTAGGAGTTTAGGTATTTACATTTCATTTGTAGATTGTACAGAATAATCACTGTGATGTAACGCAATCACAGAAACTATTTAATTTTGCCAATAATCTATAGAAGAAGTTGAAGCTCTGGTGATAGATCTAAAAAGTGCTATATTTAATACAATATTAAAGCAAACAAAAGCTGGAAGATGCATCAGTTTCACATGTGAATACTTACCTTAGTTATTTCTTCAGAAGCCCTTTCAAATCCTTGAACATTTGCACAATATAACCCTATTGTGCAGCTTGGATCCATTTTTTTAAAAGACATCTTCTTTGGAGAAGAACAGTGGAATGACTGCAATAAGCAGAAAGGCTTTTAAAAACAGTTTAAAGGCATGAGAGAAAGATACAGGATGCATTTCCCTGATCAGTCAGCAAACAGATTGTGCAAAGTGTTTATATGGAACTGCCTGCATTTGTCAACTCAGTCGCTTTTATATAATTAAAAACTATTGTTGATGTGACAGTTTAAAGTACTGTCATGTTAATTTTTGAGCAAAACTAATAATCCTAGTCAAATGCTTCTGTGGCACTACGTAAGTTTAGTCAAACTTTCTCAAATAATCTCAAATCTCAACCTTCTCACATAATCTTAAAAAATAATTTCAGATGGGAATTCCAACTACACACAAAACAGTTTAACACTGGATAATGCTGGAGTAGGTGGACCAATGGCCTACTCAATATAAGTGGTCAGACAGGTTAGCAAACAGCCTGTCAGGATCAGTTTCCTGGCACAGCACCTATTTTCCTGTGTTAATGTTTTGCAGAGATCTGCAAAGGCTTTAAATAACTGCAGAAATTATTTCTTCATTATATGAGTGGCACATTGGCATATCTATGCAAGCCATTGCACTATGTATTAATAAGACTGAAAATAGGGGAAATCATCTTCATGCTAGGGAGATTGCAAAACTGTTGTAAAATTGGGTATGTAGCATATTAAGGAGCATTTTGTTTCTCTAATTTCTTCTAATATACATGCACACAACATATATCCTTAATCACAAGTGAATATTCATTTGAACACAGACCATTTGTTTTGTGCTGTATAAACTTCAAATAGGAAATCAATTTGGTATATTTTCCATTGTGACCACAGTTAAACATAGTTCCTCAATTTGGAAGTGAACAAACAAAACAAACTGAATGACAGGTATCCAATTTTCTTCTATATAGAGCATGGGTCCTCAAACTATGGCCGCAGGCCAGATACAGCATGCCATGCTCATTTATCCAGCCTGCCTCAGAGCTTTAGGGCTCGCTCGGAGAAAACAATCTCCAAGCGAGTCCAAAAGCTCTGAGCCGGTGTAGGCATTCTCTGAAACTAAGTAGAGAGCTGGCGCACGTGCCAAATTGCAACAGCTCAACTATGCGTGTGCTGGCTCTCCACCCGCCCTCCCCCTTGCACACATATACAGAGCGGGGAAACGCAGCAGGAAACAGGAGGGCGGAAGAGAGAGACGAAGACACTAAAAAAGGATTGAAGGTAAGAAAAACATAACTTTTTAAATCCATTTTTAAGTATGTGAACCATGTCCCCGGGTGTGGGAGCCGCAGCCTTCTATGGGCAAGCCGCTGCCACCATCAAGCAACTGCCCCCTCGGTAAGAAGCAATTAGAAGCAGAGGTGCCTTTCTTCTATATAGAGCATGGGTCCTCAAACTACAGCCATGGGCCAGATACAGCACGCCATGCTCATTTATCCAGCCCGCCTCAGAGGCCCTGGAAGATGCCTGTGAGGCCCCGGAAGATGCAGGGAGTGACGCGGCGCTGAGTGGGGATGCAGAATCCGTGGGAGTTCAGCCAAGGGAGAGCCCCATGCAGAGCGAGAAGGGGTCTCACTCTGCCTCTCCCACCAGAGCACCGGAGGCCATTCTCCAGCGAGGAGAAAACATGGGGACAAGGAAAGAAAGTGGGTGGGGGCAGTGTCCCAGAAGGACGCCAAAGCTGGAGTGATGAGGGGGAACAAAGAGTTGCTCTGCTGCACCAGCACCAGCAGTCCGGGTCAAATGGAACAAAGTGCTTCTTCGCACAAGGCACACCATCCGCCTGTGGAACTCATGCCCTCAGGATGTGGCTGGCTTCAGAATGCCTGAGATCAGCGCAGGGAAGAGGAGCGGGGGAGGGGACTGCCTGTGGGTCTCTGCAGTGGCGGGGCGAAGTGCGAGGCGCTCCTAGGAGGGAAGCATCCGCTTCGGAACACTGTGAGCCCTCCAGGAGATGCCAGGGTCTCTGCTGTCCAAGGGCAGGATCCTGCCCCCCACCCAGTCCAGCTGGGGAATCCATATTCCCCCTGCACTCCTCTGCCCCCCACAAAATGTCCCCTGGGCTGGCCAAGCAGAAGTCTTCCTGAGCTGCAGGTCAGAGCCCAGCTTCCAGGGCAGGCAGCTGCCCCGCTGGCCTGTAGCCCCGAGGCCTGGCTGCAGCAGGCTGACACCGCTCCGCCCGCTCGGGGACCCACACTGGGTGTGCCGGCAGCTGCAGAGGCTGGTGTGGCTCTGCCCCTGGGCCAGCACGCAGCTGAGTGAGGAGAGTGGAGCAGCGTGTGCTGGCCATGCTGCGAGAGGCTGATAAGGCAGAGTAAGGGTGCCCTGTCTGTCAGCCCATTAAAGGCTATTCTTACATGTTTTTCTCCCCGGCCCCAGCCCCTTTCATTAATACGCAGGGTGAACTGAACATTGAATAAAGACCAGTACTTACTACACAATTGTCAGATTGAAAGCTAACTGTCAACAGAGGGAAAGGGGGTTACAAAAGGACCCATTTCAGTGCTTAGCAAATGGGTTTCAGCTTCTTCCCCCCATGACAGGGAGAGACAGGAGGCGCCCCGCTTGGCCAGCCGCAGCCCTATCCCTCTCTCCATTTTTTAATTTTTAATTAATTTTAATTAATTTTAATGTGCAGTGTGCATAGGAATTCGTTCATATTTTTTCAAACTATAGTCCGGCCCCCCAACAGTCTGAGGGACAGCAAACTGTCCCCCTGTTTAAACAGTTTGAGGACCCCAATATAGAGCAACATAATGTAGCAGAATATTTTGAGATACATTGAATTTTTTCCATGTATAAAACAATGATATAGCACATTAATGAGTAGTTTCCAAACAGCTATATAAGAAGTTGGGATGGCTACATTCCAAAAACACCACAGCACATTCAGAGTTTCTTTCAAAATATGCCCTAGAAAATATGACCAACATGCATAGAACAGAAGGCAGCACTTCTAAATAAATAGATTCTGGAAGCTGACCACAAATTGGATTGATTTTCAACTTAGCCTGGGCAGCTTATCAATTTTGAAAACATACTGTGGAGAAGTGTAAAACTGCTCCCCACAATAAGAAAAGGTATTTGCTGTTGCCTCACAGGTCTTTGTGGGAAGCTGGCTTCCCCATCCACCAGTCATGTTTGGGGTGTGTCTTTATTTTTTCCTTATGTAAATTAACAGAGTGTTTTATTTCTACTGACAGGATTGTGGAAAAATAAGATACTTCCCTGAAAACTGCTGCTGAGAAGAAACCCTGACTTGCAAGAACTTGGCTAACCCAAGAATCTTTGGATGTGTGTGTGTTTGGGAGGAAACATCAACCTATGTTTGGGCTCATAGCTTTTGTTTTACCTCTGTTAAGCAATTATATGAGGGCTGTTGGGATAGCTTACAAATAGGTAAACATTAAAACAACATGACAGTAACCAAAAACCTATACAAGAATACAAGCAAAACAAGCTAAACAGCAATAACACTTCCAAACTAAAAGAAGTAGTAGTTTTCCTATGCTCCTCATTAGTCCGACCCCATCTGGAATACTGGGTCCAGTTCTGGGCACGTAGATTTAAGAAAGATGCACAAAAATTAGAAAAGTTCCAGAAGAGGACCACAAAAATGATCCAGGGTTTGGAAACACTGCCCTATGAGGAGAAACTGAGGGAACTGGGCATGTTCAGCATAGCGAATGGGGGACATAGTATCACTCTGTAAGTACCTCAAAGGCTGTCACAAAGGAGGAGTGCCCTCCTCTCACTAGAGTGCGGGACACAGAATACTCAATTCAAGATGTGACAACCCAGATTTGGGCTAGGTATCAGGAAAGGTTTCCTCGCTGTCAGAGCAACACAACGGTGGAACCAGCTGCCTAGAGAGGTCATGGGATCCTCCACGCTAGACATTAAAAAATAAAACAAAACTGGACAGTGTGAGTAGGATGGTGTAAACTGGTGACCTGCAAAAGCAGGGGGTTGGACCTGATGGCCTTCTGGGCCCCTTTCAACTCTATGATCCTATAAACACGAAATAGATAGCAACATAGTGAACCACTGCCACCAGTTATGCTGTAGAAGACTTCTGTAAGTGCTGCACAGTGTGAATGCACAGTACATGCATAGTCCCTAGAGCCATTCAGTGATGGAATGGATTCAACGGAAATGGTACTGTTTTCAGCTCTGGCTCTTCCTTTCCCATGGCAGGAGAGTTGGTGCAGAATGACCCTGCCATCAGCTTACTTGTCAACTGAGAACTCCAGCATATAGCAGCATCATGCTTTGTCTCCAAACACCAGTGTACATGTCCATAAATCTGCCCTTAGAGTCTGCAACTGCCTGGAGCATCATGCTACAAAAACATTTACAGTTGTAGAACTGTTTGCCCTTTTCAAGTGCAGCTAAAAGCCAATGTGCAAACAATTCAAAGTTCCTCTCACATGAGGGAAGCCTGGTTCATGGAACCTTTTCTTGTTTTCTCTATGATCCCCTATCGTTATGACATCAGACAGGTAGAGCTCCTTCGGAATGCACATTGTTTTTTCAGAAGATTTTACACATAATGTATTTCCTAACTCTAAGGGTAGTGCCAGGGTGAAGTATTCAATGTTGAAAGCATGTTTGTGCAGTCAATCACAACTTTTAAACTGAAATAGATTTCCTCATTACCGTGCTGAGTGGTGAATGATGGAATCTATTACTGCTGTTGTTGTTTCAAATACTGGCCTGGGACATGAGGAAAGTTTCATGAAATCTGCATCAACTTGAGGCATCTATCGCCAAACAAGCTTCAGTATGCAGCAATGCCCACTGGGAGATGACACATCAGTTTGCTGGAAGTCGCTTTGTCACCACTGCTGTGATCACAGCACTACAGACTTTAGCCAAAGACAAAGAAGGCACATCCAGGCATTGCAGATGGCTAAACCATCTATGGCCATTATGGCAGTGGGTTTTTCCATAGACTTGTTCTTCCTGCTCTGCTCTACCCACAACACTGACGTGTAGCAGTGCCAATGCAGAATCTGCTGTAGGTAGCAAATGACAACACCGAAAGAGTGCATCCAGGGGATTGCAATGATCAGTTGGAGCCTTTAGAGCAATTTTTACCTCAGTAGCAGCTTCTGCCATAAGTCAATCCCTGGCCCCTTCCAAAGACCATGAGAAGAGGAGGAGGAAAAAGAGGCAGAATCATGGGAAGGATATAGTTTGGAAAGAGTTAAGGAATGGCTACTTTAGTGACAATAGGAAAAACAGGAAGCAGCTGCTTAAAGTATTAAGGAAACACCTTAGTAGAACTGAAGGAATGGCCACAGAGTCAGTCTTTATCGTATTACTTAAGCAGAGGAGAGAAACACTCATCTAGCATTACCCAGAGGGTACATGTCACTGCCACAACCAGAAAAACACACTCCAAAGGTCTTGATTCATACATCAAATTCTTTGGTTTTGGTGCAGATACCCATAAAGCAGCAGGTACTGCCTCAGCATAGGCAAGCTGGGAGTGTTAGATAAAGATTCTGTGTTGCAGACAGGTGATCCTATGCTTTAAATGAGAAACTCTGTGTTCCCTGGCATTACATTCATTCCAGAAATGAAACTGAAGTATTTTTTACCATCCCCTTCTCTCTAGTGAAATACCTAGTCCTCAGCAGAACAATCTTCTCATTATGAATTTTCATTTTGCTACAAGGGTGAGATTGGAACAGAACATCAACAAGAGGAAAGGGCAGATTCATGGTGAGCTAGCATGAAGGAATAAAATGAATTACTGAGCACTTGCATCTTTTAGAAACATAGAAACAGAGCAAGTCAGAAGGGTCTTCCCAGGTCATCTAGTCTGACCCCTGGTTCTAGCCGGCTCCACTCATGGCATGCCTGCCATGTGCATGTTCAGCCTATCCTTAAACACCCTCACCAATGGAGCTTCAACCACCTTCTGTGGAAGCCCATTCCATACCCTAGGGGTCCTAACCATTCTTCCTGCCTGCATGGAAGAACATGGTTGGTGCTGACTTCTCCACCAATGACTTTGAATCAGTTGTTCTGCTCCTCCATATTCAACCAGTGCTTCAATTGGCTTTAGGTGACAATGTGATGCAACCAAAGGATCTACTATGGGCCATGCAAGGAAGACTGGTGGAGATGGGGGTGCGGGGGGGGGGGGCTGTTACCAAGAACTGTGCTACTGCAGAGGAGGCAGCGGCAGTGACTTTGTGGGGAGAAACAGCTACAGTGCACTATAGAGCTATCACTCGTACTCAGTGTGCACTCGTGGCCTTGCCAATGTTAGCAAGAATATTTACACCATTTGAATGGCATCCCTCTGCCTGTTTACAATAGCAGTTTATTTCCTCATCACCTGCTCAACAATGAGCTCTGAGGCTGCTAAGCCTTCATGCAATGATTCACCTGAATAGATGTTTCTAGCTAGAGTCCAAGGTGACTATGTAGAAACTAGACACTCACAAGTCCTTCTCTTTCCTGTTCATTTCCTTGTAAGAGCTCATATGTGCATTATCCTGATGGTCACTGACCAAGTCCCCTGCAAGCTGTCGGGTGCCTCCATCTTTAGCTGTACAGGCTCTGCATCTGAAACAGTTGCTCTGCTTGTTGTTCAGCCTGTGCTTTACCTCCACTCTCTTCTTCTGAAGAGCCAGAGAAGGATGGATCACTGGAATGAGTGAAGAGGCATCCCAAGTGGGTGGTGGGGGTGACTCTTTCCTCTTTCACATGAGACAAACTGAAATATGTGTCCCCTAGGCTTGCCATATACATATTCACGGGACTGTACCACTACCAGGCCTATTTCAGCAAGACTATGATGCACCTGCCACTGCTACTCCTCTACTTCAGAGGCAGCTGCCTGGTTAGAACAGGTGGGAGATACCTCCTGCTTTGAGGGCCAGAACCCTCATCTTCTGTGTCCAGCTCCAACTGACTTCCCTTGGAAAAACACTCTAAACTACTTCCTGCATGGCACTGACCACATCCTTAGAGCATCTTTAACTTCACATAGCATGTTAGAAGGCTTGCTTGCAGCAGAAGAACAAAAGACATTGGGATGCTTGTACTCAAGGAGTATTTAGTTGATGAACTTGTCTCAGAAGCACAGTGGGCAACTTGGATGGGCAGCAGGGATTGACTCACAGGGCATACTGTAGTTTCCAAAGGCTCTACAGGGACACTGGGGGGGGGGCTGTATCTGGGGGTTATGAAATGGCTGCACATGCGGAGCATACTGCAAATGGGTGGCAGTATAGTTTTCAATATATCTTGACAGGTCTGGAGGGAAGGAGGGAGGGAGAATCACAGATTGTAGAGTAGCAGGGCTTCATGTGATAAGATCTGACTCTGTGAGGTTGGGACATGGTATAACAAGACATCACATCTGTTGGACCAAGCAGGACAGTCAACCGATTGCCACAGGATGGCCTGGTGCATAGTGGAGCCCAGTATTGCTTCTAAGTTGGAAGCTCCTTAAACATTTATTCTGAAAAGCAGAGGAAGAAGGTTATCATGTCTGGTGTTCCGCAGATATTCCTGTGTCTTTGGACTTAACCAGAGACCCATGAATGTGCCAAGTTCCTTCTCATTCCAGAAATGCACCTGAACTCTTTAAGGCTGCTGGGCTATTTGGCTCAATCAGGACCAAGAGCCACTCTTGCAATGCTTATGCCAAGGGTGACAGAAGTGAAGGTAAGGACTGCTACCTCTGCTGCTGTGAAAAGCACACAACTAGGCAAAGGTGAAACAACTCACAAGGAGTGTCACTTTGGTGTCTGCTCTTGGCAAGTGACCCTGTAGCCCTTTTCAACAACTCATGATGAAAACACCCTGCCAGGTTAGGATAACACAACAAGCCACCATGAAAATGAAGCACCCAAAAACAAGCCATGAATTCTCAGGCTGGCTTATTCAAGAAAAACAAGCCACCCTGCCAAAACTGTGGTGAGCTCAGAGGACCTGCTATGGCTGATCACCCATGATGGGCTGTTGTATCATCCATGATAGGACATTAGGTCTTATCTGTTCATGAATCAAAACAGTCTGCTCCGATGTTTTCACATTTATCTCCACAGCAAAGAATTGAAAACTTAAGTCATAACCAGACTAGGTGCTATTTAGGCTACCTAAAGCTGCAGCAGCAGCCGCATCTTTACTTATATCTTGTCTGCTCCCCGTAATTAGGACTCAAGGTGGTTCACAACATTAAATCCATACAATTAAAACATTCAAAAATACAGAAGTTTAAAGTATATTTTAATCAATTAGATACTGATATTGAAAAAACACCCAAATTAAAACACTACAAGCAACATAAAGAGTAAAACTAATCAAGCATAAATGCATAGGCCCAGACCATGCCCAAATGGCTGCTAGAACAAAAATGTTTTCCCCTACTTTGAGAAACCTGAAAGGGAGGGTGCCAACCTAGACCTGGGGCAACCAATGAGAACACCTTCTCCCACCAAGTGTGACTGCAAAGTTGGAGGCACCATGAGAAGTGCCTCCTCAGAAGAACTTAAAAGTCTGAGCATCTGGGAGAATACAGTCTTTCAGATAGCCTGAACCTGAGCCATACAGGGCTTTATAGATCATCACCAGCACTTTGAATTGTGCCTGGAAACAAACTGGGAGCCAGTGAAGCTCTTTCAGCAGAGGAGATATATGCTTCCTGGTCTGGCAGCAGATCTTTGAACCAGGTGAAGTTTCTGAACACTCTTCAAAGGCAGCTCCATGTAAAGTGCATTGCTGTAATCCAAACAGTAATTTAACTAAGGCATGTGTCACTGTGGCCAAATAGAATGGACCCCACCCCCCTTTAAAACCCAGCACAGGCCATCCACCAAGACAACCAAAGCTGTTTCTCTTGCAAAACTAGGTCTGAAGGCAGACTGAAATGGATCTAGATACTCCATCGGGTCCAGGAATCCCTGGAGTTGGGGGACCACCACATGCTCTAATACCTTGCCCATAAATGCAGTACTGGAGACCGGCCAATAATTATGCAGCACAATGGGATTCAGGGAGGGATTTTTTTTTTTTTTAGTGAGGGTCTCCTTCTGGCAGGTTGGGACCCTGCCTTGACTTACAGAGGCCTTAGGCATATTGCATATCCACTCCGCTAGTCACCCTTTGCTGCTTCTGTAACTCAGGAATGGCATTAGTGGGTTCTTAGCCATATGAAATAAAATAATGGTTTTTCTTTTAAGTTCCTTTTTGTCCTTTATTTTTCAAGTTCAAGTTCATTTTAGCTCAAAGTGGTAAAACTCCAGCATATAAGCATGCTATACACATGCATTGCAGCATGGACAAATGAAGCATTTTAAAATTTCAAAACTGATTCAAATTGCAAGCATCCAGCTTCGCCAACAAATGCATAGCAGCAGCACACTTCATAATGTCTTGTATGTGGCCTCCGTTTGTATTCTGATTCCAAGCCTGGGAAATACCTGCAGTATCTAGGGAAGGCATAGAGTTGTGCACAGATGCCAATAAACAAACAACTGAGAGGAGTCTTCTTCCCAAAACAGTGAAGCTGAGAAACCAATGTTTGAACCGCCTTCAAGTGTAACGTATTGCAAATGGGAGACGAGTGACTAGGCCTGAGATTGCAATTTTTCAGTGCTGGAGTCCCATTTTTAAAAGACAGGCTATGGTTTATATCAGGCAGATATCTGATATGTGGATAAATTCAGTGGATGTATATTCCATTGTATACAAAACATTAATATCCAGTACAGCGTAATTAGGTTTTATACATTCTGTTATTTCAAATCTAAAAGAAAGAAAAGAAATCATCTATGTAATTAGAGTTTTGTTCATATTTGAAGCAAACAGTGCAGGTTCTTTATCTATCCTACCTCGAGGGGGAAATCCTTTACGCTGACATCTACAAAGGACTGGCAATAATGAGGATCCATGTAAATCAAGCTGTCATCTACAAGGACAAAACAAAAGACAAGTAATTCAAAAAACACCTTATTATTACACTGCTTACAATCCAATTTCTATGCAGAACAGTGGGGGGAAGAAACCCCCAGCAAGTAACTGCCTGCCAGGCTGATATTCATTGACTGAAGCATAGGTTTTTGCAGGACAGATTAACTTTTGCATAATCAAATATGCTTGTAGAAGCAGAATTTTGATAAAGTGATGAGACTGTCATTTAATTTTTGGAGATAAAATTACTTTTACAAACACACAATTATATTCCAGGAGTTTGCATATGAAAAATGCATTGTACTTCTTCATCATGACAGGAAGAACATATTTGCTTGTCATTTGGTCATCAACCTGCACCATTTAAACTACTAAAGGGTAAATATATAACCAAGAACTGCCAGATAGTAAAGAATGAAAGGCTCACAGAGTTTGATGAAACAGATAAATTATGCCTTGTTTGTGCAACAAAGAAAATTAAATGTACATTTTACAGAATCCAATTACCACATGGGGCGAAATGACAAATGACTGGACTTTGGTGGGTCTGATAAATTAATAAAGTACTCATTTTGCTATTTTAATCATTCCACTTCCCATGGGTGCTATATTAAGTCCATAGCTCTTGGGGTGGGAGGTGGGAAGAAGAGGAGAGGCATACCACACTCAAAAAGACATATCTTATTAATACACTAACCTTGAAATCCAGCAAAATAATATGACTGCTTCGGCTTTCCTCCAATAATACCAATGCAGTATTCAAGACTCAAAATTCCCTGTCAGCACAACAATAAGTAAATTCAGTTTTAAGACTACATTTGGGGGAAATCCAAGATTACAGTGCAGCAGGCTTAATCCAATACTAGTTTGTTTTTGCTCAAAACAAGCCAATTGCAAAAATGTTCCTTAATGCACCAAAATTTCCCCACTTCATTTCTTATAAAAGCAAAAAACAGAACACAAAGTATGCAAATTGTGTGTGTCCAAACCATTTCAAAGAAGATATACACCTGCTGGGGACTTAGGATGGCTGCCACTGATTAAGACTGGAAAACAGTATTAAAATCCTAGTCTGCTGAAGAAGTGCATACAGAGTGCATTTAAGACAAGACTTTCAACTGCATCATGTTCCATGAACAAACCAGAAGGGTCTATCAATCCAGAGATCAACTGACTTCAAGCTGCTATGCTGACTACTAACCAAAGAAAAGTTGCAATTCATTTTATTTTGCTTGTGGGCCACAAGAGAGATTGATGTTCTATCATTATTTCCCAATTCCACTCTTAAGTTTTCTTCCCACTTTTTGCCCTTCTTTTCTTCCTGTCCTACAGGAGGTGCACAGCATATGTGTATGTTGCCTGCCTTATCCACCTTTGTTTACTCAGGGCTGCTGGTCCTTGAAGAATCAGTAGTTTCTTACACACAACACATGCTGTCTTTGTTTTGCAGGTGGTAAATTAACTTTTACAGGTGATATTAATATTTCAGAAACTTCTTAAGTTTAATTGGAAGAAAGTATTAGGGTTCCCTGATTCTTTGCTAAAAATTTAAATCCATCTCCTTGTTTATACAATAGATGTTTCCATTATAGTCAGGTTTATAAGTTCACGTAAGATCTCCTCCCTAAGTTACAAGTTAGCAAATGAGAGAATCCTAACTTCAAATGCTTGCATTTAGCCAGACTAAGATGTACTCGTCATTTTGTTTCCTCCAACAAAACAGGCCCTGAACTCTCTAGTAATGAAATAGAACTTGATTTTTCCTTATGTGAGAATGAAGTAGGGCTAGTCTCCTTTCATCTCTATACAGGCTTCTACCAACTCTTAAGAGCATTTTTACAAGTCAGACTTTGTTTTATTTACCTCTAGTCTGATTCTCTAAAAAGCTGGGTGAAGGAGGAGAGAACTGGGTAGTTTCCAAATGAACAGAAAATATCACAAATTCTCTGTATTCTAGCATCCTATAGAAACAGTGGATTTTTAACACCATCAATTTCTTATTGCATTTACTTATGCTAATGTCTAGGGACTATGCAGAAAATTGGGGAAGACATGAGCATAAATTGCAGGGCTGGGAAACTATTGCTATTATTTGAAGTAAGGTTCGTTAGGACTTCCATGACAGTCTCTGAGAAAGAAAGTGGGAAGAAACTGCCATGGTAGATGCCAGTAATCAGCTGCTGAAGTGTGTACGGAACAGATATAAGTCCTAGGTAACATTTTAAAATCAAGGTCACACAGGAATGCAGTTGAAATCACATCAGTCTTAATCCTGAATTACTGTATCAGAAAATCATTCATTTAGGAACTGGAATAGTTATAACCAACTTAACTTGGAATATCAGTGCCCTATATATATGTCCACATACTAAATGAAATGTCCACATTTCAAATTTTTGAAAACAACTATGATCCATGACTGTAAAATCATAGATACATTTAATAGATTGAAGATTATTATCCTTAACATTCATACCATTTGGTGATATTTTCTGAAAAATGACTAACTCATTTCATACCTTCACAAATTCTAGATATTCCATGTTGGTTCTTTCTCCACCTAGTCTCACAGGAATTAATATAATCACTGATTTGCCATCTGATTTTGCAGAATCCATGAAAGAGCACAATGTATCAACAACATCAGACTTATAAACTTGAAAAAACACAGGAAAAAGCAATGTTTACATACAGTTCAAACAGAGTAATCAAAACAGTTAAGATAATCTGCACATTTTAAGCAACAGGGAAAAATTATCATGATTTCACTCTGCTGAAGGATCCTGTGCCCGCTTATCGCTGGCCAGCATTTATCTATGATTGTGACTATGACACTCGTTGACCCAGATCAAGTCTTTCTTGTCTAGTTATGAGGCCATATTGGATGCTTAGCAAAGAGACCAACTGCTGCACTGCAGGAAAATAGCACCCACCCTCTGGAACACGCTGCCCACTGATTTTAGACAGGTATTTACAGCTGGCCGCCCCTATGGTATGAACCAACAAGTATAGTTACAGAGTTCAATGGTATTTCAATGTGATACCACTGATTATTTTACTGGAAAGTGGTACATAAATTTGGGTAATCAGTAATAAAAGCAGGATTGGTGCTTTTTGGCTTACCAGTCAGAAACATGTTTATGAGACTGTAACACCGTTAAGATAGAGCCCACCCATTTTTTAAAAATGTACCATTTCCTTCACAAAGAAAACCCAGGCCACATGTCCAATGTTAACAAATGAACAAACACAAAAGCTTAATTACATGCTGGCATTTTAACTGGCAAAAGCACTTCAGCAATTTAACCTTTCCCACTCGCCTATGCCACCTCCATTTAGGTACACCAAATCAAGCTACTGAGTGCAAGCAACATATAGCATAACTTGGGGGATGAAGGATGCATCCCACAGGTCATATATCTGTCCTGCTCTAGGATGAGACACAGGGGAAGAGCACTTGTATCACAACCTTGGACTGATAACTTACAGTAAAGATAGGCTTTTTTTGGGCGGGGGGCGGGGATAGTATTCACACTTGACTATGATAACTGTCCTGGAAACCACCACAAAATGACTGTCAAAGGAGGTACGGCAAAGGACAAATAGCCCACCCAGAATACTGAACATAGAGCAGAGGCAGGGCTCGAACCATAACACAGTGAATACCTTTTGGAACCCACAGTTTTAAGTACCAATTCTATTTCACAGCTGCTGGTAAGAAAACGTGTGATAGGGCGGATAGAGTACCTTGGCAGGTACAAATAAAGGTGTCCATGGGTATCACATTTGCTTACCCCTGACTTAAAGCATAATCTCTATCAAGGCCTAACCCTAAATTCTGGTACTCAAAGGAAAGAGCGAGTCTGAAAACCTGCTTGCAAGCAGTGGAAATCAGAGCCATTTATGCTGCTCTTATCCAAGAAAAGAACCCCAATAATGTTTGCTTTATTGTCTTTCTGATATATTTAAGTATTCAGTGCAAGTTACTACATTTGTTATTACTGCAGGGCAGAAGGAAATTAAAATCTTTTCATTGATCTAACAGCACAGAAATGAGGAAATGTCTTCCTTAAACTTTACTTTTAATTACTGAAGGATTCTTTGTTGGGTAGAGGAAAAGAATTAATAGATCACTTAAAATGGTTTGTGCTTGATGGGAAAAAGAATGAATCCAGGAGACTGAATCAGTAAGTTCAGAAGACTAGGGAAGAGCAGATGCTACAGAAGCAAAAAAGTTGTACAGTCTTCTGGGCAAATTAGGAAAGAAAATGCATTCATAATCTTTCAAGCACATTATCATTTTCAAACATTATTCAAAAATGTAGAAGTCCATGCAGAAACTGTGATTTTCAGGAAAAAGTACAATAATCATTTATGGTTCCAACAGCACCATAAACAGTATTAACAAATCTTTAGAGTAAGATGACAAAAGGATTCTGCCTCCAGAAGCTTATAGTATAAAGCAATTGTTATATTTTCAAGAACTTATGTTTAATTGCTGTTGTTACTACTACTCCTATTACTGGCACTAGTATATAGTTTTATAATATGCAATTTTATTTCCTATGATATGGCTCTAGAAAGTGTTAATAGAATTCTGCTTGCACCATCCTACTCCATCCCACCCCACCCACAATGTGTTCATGGCTCAGGTGATCCTCCAGAATGGTGTGGGATGAGGCACAGGGCCATACCAGCATAATTCATAGGGGCTACTTTGCACTTTCTTTTGCGCAAGCATCAAGTTTTTGATGCTTGTGCAAAAGAACCTTTGGTTCTACTACTAGTCTTTTTAAGATCTCAATTGAATTTTCAATTAAATGCTTTGAAGACTAGCCAAGAACATTACATATTTTAATTAACTCACCTGTACAGTCTTGAGCCACATATACAGCTATTCCTTGTAACTCAGGGTCTCTGGCCTCTTCAACAGCTTTTCTATGTAGAAGCCACAAACATAGTTCAGGTTAACAATATACAGAATTAAAGTTAAACAAACAATCTTGATGTAACTTATTTTAGAGGATTGGACTAGTCAAGACTTTAATCTATTACAAAGATAGCATTTCAGATGACAAAATTGTAAAAAAAAAAAACCCACTAAATTTATTCATTTTATTGACTCCTATACCATCAGGACCTGCTAAAATGTAAATTTAGTGCAAAATCATAACATTTTTTATTGTGCTTATTTCAAATTAACATATCAAATAACTCAAAAAAGCAACACATTCAACTAAAATAGTTTTGAGTTACTCTTACGAAACAACAACAACAACAACAAAAAGGCAGGCTGAAGAAAAAAAAAAGACATAGGATAGCTTCACACTACCATACGGGAAAACCACTTATCTACAGTAATGTAACAAAACATACTAACCTATTTTGGCAGTACATACAATGCAGAAATCTGCCTTCAATAATAGGCTAGACGCACACATGGTAAAACAATGCATGCATGTTGCAAGTAAGAAAAACAATCTATATAGGTAAGTACTGGGGAAAAGAGCCATGTCAAAATCGATATTCATAAACTGGTATACTCAGAAATAAAGCCTTCTGGTTTCAATAGGACCTAACACCATGAGAGGGTGCATAGGATTACAATAACCACTTCCAAGGTGTGTAATTCATTTGCAGTACTGAAGTTGTAAGGAAAGGGGTATACTATAGGATATGCCTTCAAAACTGACAAATTGCTGATGTTCATGAAATTATACTTTCAAACTGATCATAGAAAGTTTGAAACCAAATCTCTCTCTTGAACAAGCAAAATTATGGGAAAAGTTGCCTATGTCTATTTCAATTATTTACCTCTACAAATACAACTGGATATATAAATAACCTTCACCTCTCAAACACTCTATTATTTCACTGTAATCTCATTCAAGGTGAATATTTTTGCCATACAAGCATTGCATGAATCCTGCATCTATATTAGATGTTAAAAATTTACATCTGCACTTTGGCCTCTTGTGCATAGAAGGCTTAATGATTCCATTTATGACCATATTGGGACCCACCTAGAACATAAGACTATAAAAATACAAAATCATTGGTGTCCAAAGAAATGGCATGTAAAGGCATCCTGCACTGAGAAATCTGACTTTCTGAGCTTAAAAAAATATCTAGGCTGAATGTCACAGACTCTTTACTTTTACTATTATGTAATTATAATATTAATAGTCCTATGCACTTAGAGTTTCACAAGAATTTGATGCGTGCAAAGAAATGCTGAAAACATCAATTTTAAACTCTGACAGTTCATTACACTATCAGTACATTACAGCCCCCAGGTTACAGTATTAAAAAAGAAGTCTATAATGTTATGCATGTTCAAGGTTAAAAGAGTTGTTAGTTTTTAGAACATTTCATTAAAGTTACTCTATGTAAAGGCTAGATTTGGAAGAGATCTTGGTATCCTTGCAGTCTAGAAGAACCAAGAATTTTTCAGAAAGAGAAGACTTCTCAGAGCTCATATGTGATACATTCAGTACTACTTTCCCATTTCTGATAAACACCCTATACACTTAAAGCACTACTGATAAGAATGCATTGTAAAGCTTTAATGCTTTCTGATTAACTTAAAACCTGAAGACAGTTCTAAAATGAGTCTCTCTGTACAACCCCTTCATTTAATGCAACAACGAAAGACTGTTTAGTTGTGGCAGTTTGATTTTTACCTCAAAAGGTGTGCTACAACAGCTGGTCCATACCAGTCTCCTGCTATTTTTCCAGACTTGTTCCCATATTCTATCAGGCGATGCAAGCCAAAATTCGCAAGTGGAAAATCTCCAAACCAAGATATAATTTTCCGATGATAGTGTTCATCCCTGCTTTTTCCATCTTTCCAATCCCACTTTGGAATGTGGTTAGGATGACTTGATTGGTTCTTGGTTTTTTTTTCTCCTGTATATGATGCTTCAACTGATGCAGTAAGTTTTTTGATTGTGTGACTTGTCCATGATTCAGAGTCTGGATTTTCAATGACCAATGCATCTGACCAGCTCCAGTCTGTCACAGTATTACAAAGCATATTTTTAAAGTTGGGGATTTTTCATGTTGAGAATTAATTTAAACAATTTATGTTCTGTTTAAATTGGTTCTGTTTAAAATGTTTAGCATTAAATGACGTTTTAAGGCATTCAAAGTTAACCATCCCTCAGTTAGCCACTACAAGAGGACAATGTACATTTTAACAGTTGCGTCTCAGAATATCTTAGTTTTTTAAAAACCTGTTGGTTTTACAACACCATCAGAGCACGGAGCACCAATTACAGAAAATGGAATTAAAGAGTATCAGCTCATTTTGCCATTGAACTGCTAAATGTTTTTCATACTATTAAAGAACTCACATAGTTTTCAGTATATTTCTGAGTCCAATTTGAAGGGCTACTTTTATCACTTGCTGGCCACAAAGCTCAGTAAGGTTTGTGAGTACAAGGGAGAAGGTTCTCAGCAGTGTCCCCACTTTCTAGGATCTGTAGACCTACCTATTCTTCTGGCTTTCCTGTTACACTGATATGTTTGTTTTTATTGGTAAATGCAGCTTTAATTTATTTTAGTTTTACATGTCTGTTTTTATGCATTTCTACTGAACATAATTTACTGGTTTTATTGTATCTACTTCACTTGATTTTTACCTTTGCTTGAGAGGGTTCCAACCTGAAAAGGTAGCCCTGAAATAATTTTGGATACCAAGGCAGATAGAAATATCAAGGTGCCTTTTGTAACCGTATTAAAATAACACAAAAAACTGTTGGAAAAAAGAATATATGCACTAATGCTTTATAATAGCAGGAGCTTCAAAATATTGTTCCCTTTGTATTTGCAAAGCTTCAAAACTGGTGAGATAGCACAGTGATTATTGTACTAGATGGGGAAGATGTAGCTTCAAATCTACTCAATCATGGAGGGGACATCAGGCATTCTTTCAAACCAACTTACTTAACAGGGCAGACAATTAATTGGGAAAAATGAGTGAGGGGAATACCATGTATATCACATTTAGCTCCCAAGGATGGAATATAAAAATAATAAATGTTTAGAAAATCCTCAACAGGAAAATGTGCACTTTTAATTTTCTTAAAAACCAGCTAGAACAAAATTAAAATAAACACTGCACAACTGTATTTAGTTTGAAAGACGATAGGTATTTTCCTCTGCCTTCTGTCCTCACTGTAGGTAAGCCTCCAAACATGGGGACTTATGCGCATCCAATGCAAGGAAAAGGGCAGGTGACAGTGATTTCCATCACCCTACAACTTATATTCTCTATTTTATCTAGATAGCTGGTTTTGGCTGGCTAGATGAAATGGTATGGAGCTGGAAGGAAGGAGGCTGAGGTGCTGTCTGGATATTGCTGAACTCACCGGCCTGTCTCCTCTCCTTCCTGCCCTCCAGCATGTCCCTTTAGCAGTCTAGCAGGTCACTGTCTGTCCTTAGATATGCAGCCAGCATAATTTTTTGCATGCCAACTGTGAGGAAGAGCAGGCTGGGGGCTTCACACTTGGCAGACCTCAGAACTGAGAGTCCAAGAAATCCCATGTCACCCCAACAATACCATGTATCAGGAGACCATAGGATTTTACTTTAACACATTCTTCCTCTTCAGAAACACCCGCTTCCACATTTGTATGGTTATTCATTTCCTAAATCAAACAGAAAATGTATTTGAATTTTCCAAGAAATCTGGGGAACTTGCCTCTACCAAGAAAGTGAAGAAGAAGCCCTTGTGCTAGAAGCATCTGTCCAGTCCTCAGGGTACAACCCCAGCCACAGTCTGTTGTTAATGCTGAGCCCTTGATTGGGGGAAATTCTTCTCTGTACGTCAGCCATATCCTTGAAATAAAATCTTTACGGAATTCTTCAACATTTCTTGAAATCCCTTCCTCTGTTATATCATAATCTGATCTATTAGGTGACAGATCACTTGGCTCTATAAGACACACATTACAAGTTACGCACGTACATTAGTTAGCATCTCATTTGCTCTAAAATAGGGTTAGGGTAGAAATAACATATCCTGGGACTATTATCGGTGCAGACCCTATCAAAAGAACAAGTACTTTTCTAAACAATAATAAAATAGCTGGAAATGGATTTTACAGGTATTTGCCAGGGAATCAAGAAATGGCTAGTGGCTTTCAGTTCGAATGCAAACACACAGAAGACTTTTTTTTTTTGGTCAGTTTAATTTAAATTTTCTATAAAGTCTTCACTTGAGAAGGCAAACAGACAGTTGCTGCTTTCTATTTAATTCTTATTATGGCATTCTTTTGTACTGAGAACAACTCAATCCTTCTCTGGGTAAGGGTTGAGAGTGGATTGTTATTGAAACGTAGGGTATTGCGTTGTCTGAACCCAGCTATATTCACGTCATAACTTAGTAACCATGAACAACCCATGAATAGTTTGTTGTTGGGTTGTGGACTGTGGATTGTTCACCATGGTTTGTTCTCTCAGCTGGGTTCAGACATCACAACAATCCATGGTTCTACAAAAACTCACACTCAGCTTTTGAAAGGGGTTTATCGTGTTGCCTGAACCCAGTTGTTTTCTGTCCTGGACTCTTCTTCCATCACTCATCAAGGTTCCTAAATAAACAGAAACCACCCTGATGCATTCCCTGAATTTCCCTTGCTCCTGTGAACATCTTGTATACTCACGAGCCCCTTGTATATGTGAGAACCCCTTGCATATTTGAGAAGGGAGATCCCTTCAAATACAGTGTTAAGATCTTTCAGGCACACACTTATTTGAAGTGGACGGTCCACTTGTAGTAAGTGATGATCCAGTAATATAAAGGCAACCAAACAAGCAGAGACCATTCAGGCTTTGAAGTAGTTACTTATTTGTAGCACATACCATCAGTTTTGAAATGGTAACATTTTCCCAGCAAAAAGACAGGAGAATTTCTGTTAAAGTAAGTTTTTGTTTTCAGTACCCAGCCTATAAAGAAAGAGAAAGTAACAGATTTCTGAAATAGGCCTGCTTGAATACAATTAACAGATAACAAGGAAGTAAATAAGAGAAGTTTGGTTTTTATTAGAAATCATCTTCTCTGGGTTTAAATAGTATTTGAATTACATTTATGCTATATCTGTAGAATATTTTTTCACAGATGTTGCAAAATGAAGATATCTTGCCATTTTCTATATATCATAACTAAGCACTTAAATTAATATTATACCTATCCATTCCAGGCAGTAGTTACCGAAATTCAGTGGTGCTACAACAATGGGAACACTTTTGATGAAATCATAATTGGTCATAAGAAATTATTTCATGTAAATTACTTTGACATCCTGTTTCATACAGGCAGTATATAAGTGCCACAAGAAATAGAACAAATAGTAAAAAAAGGTTTAAAGCATGCTAAGAAAAGAATACTGGCAAAACTTAGTAGAAGTCTATCTTTAATTTTATTTGTTAGGAAGTACAAAGTAATAGTTGTTGTTCTGTATATTTCTAAATACTTCTCTAAATCCTTTTCCTCATGATATTTTCCTCCTGCCTCTCTAGCAAGGTCCCCATCTATAAAATCAGGAAGAAACCATATATATTGCTAATGTGTGACCACATGGGATTGACACAAATGGAAGATGCAGCTTCAATTGGCCACTTAATTGTAAATGGTTTTTCTTAACACCATTCTTGCGCAGTGCACTGACCAGCCATGCAAAAGCTTGGATGAGCTGCGGCTAATGAGTTGAGGCTCATGATGTCATCACCTGGTGCCGCTACTCCTTTCCGAGCATGCGCATGACCCCTATGTGTGCTGTTATCTGATGCTCAGCTGCTAGGGCAATCCTGACGCGACTTGGCTCGCGTGCTGACAGAGAGGGCTCTGCATGCCCACTCTGGCATGCGTGCCATAGGTTCACCACCACTGACCTAACCCTACCCAGGTGCACTCCCCTAACACTAACACAGGGCTAGGGTTCCATTGAAAAGAGGGCGATTTTGAAAAAGCCTGCATTGAGTAGTTTTTCCTGTGCAGCTCATCATTTCTGCCCATTCTAAACACATTCCAACCATCAAAATCATGCCAGGACACCTCGTTTTTGGAACCCTAACCCTACCCTGGTGTGCACCCCTAACTCTAATATAGGGCTAAAGTTCCATTGAAAAGAGGGCAATTTTGAAAAAGGCTTCCTTGAGTAGCTTTTTCTGCACATCTCAACATTTCTGCCCATTCTAAATACATTCCAACCATGAAAATCATACCAGGACACCTCATTTTTCTAACCCTAACCCTGTTATAGTGAACTGTTTAGAGACCGAGTGCCCAAACTGCAACCCAAAACCCACTTATTTATTGCAAAGTGCCAACACTACAAAAAACCCTGAAAACTGAGGTTTTAGTTTAGAAAAAACAATTCACAGCCAGTCCGAGCAAATATATATATATATCCTTGGCAGCGCACTGACTGGTCATGCGAAAGCTCGGACGAGTTGCGGTTAATGAGTCATAGTTCATGACGTCATCGCCTGGCGCCTCTACTCCTTTCTGAGCATGTGCATGTCCCCTATGTGCACTGTTATCCGATGTTTGGCTGCTGGGGTGATGCTGGGGTAACCTGGCTTATGTGCCGACAGAGAGGGCTCTGTGTGCCCGCTGTGGCACATGTGCCATAGGTTCACCACCACTGCCCTACGGGGATGCAGAAATTCCTGGAATAAAATTTCTACTACTGCAAACATATAACAACTAATATCTTAAATATGCCTGAAAGTAGTTTCATGCTTCTCTAGCCTCTTAACTTGGCAAAGTGATGAATCTTACTGGTATCTCCCACTGGACAAGCTTTGTGCAGGAGTTAGTTTGCAAGCTAACTCATGGTGATTGCACATTTTAAGCAAGGTTAAAGCAACAAAGGGGTCAATCCTGTGCATGCTTGGACAGAAAAAAGTCACATAACTCCCTACCTTTAGTTTTAACCTAGAACATATTGCAGTACTCTTTGGCACATTCTTCCTGTCTGTGGCTAAATGCTTCTTCAAAATGGCATTCAGCCCTTGGTCTGAAAGAGATTTGGTCTGCTATAAATTATGGTTTAGACTAATCATGGTTTGTCCAATTTTAGACACTCCACTAAACTTTGGTTAGTCAGAAAAGAAAATAAAAGCTTCAATCATGCCAGAAGATGTATTCTTGGTTTCCTCTGGAACTTTTTCCTATCTTAGCAGCCTAATTCAACTGGACCTTTTTGTTGTTGTTGGGAATTGGAGTATGATATCAGTCAGAGATCTGTCACTAGATCCCACACTGCCTTTTGCCTACTCCAGTAGCACAATTGCTCAAGCACCAATAGTAAATATTAACCAGGGTGAGCAAGCCAGCTTTAACAGTTTGAGACAATGTACAAATGATTTTCAAAGATTAGGTTGCACTTTCATTAATTTTTTAAGCCATCCGTTTATTGCTTTTCACTTACTGTATTTCATATTGTGCCATGCAGACATAAACTTGGATTTTATTTTCTCTACTTCATCTGTCCCTGTGGCCTCCATATTCACGTTTGAGAAGAAAAGCCATCACTGTCTCAAAAGATACTAATTTCTGCTACTGAAAAAGGAAAAGAATAAGCATATCCATGAATACTTAGGGCATAACTAAGTATGCTTGTCCTATTATGTATCAAACCTATTGTGACCAAGAAGAGTCATAAAATTACAGAACCCTCCACTTGCTGAGAGAAAAGCAATTGTAAGTTCTATGAATAAGTAATAAAAACATTTGATTCCGAATATACAACAGTAAAATTACCACACAAAGCTAAATAAAACATAATGGCCTCCAACTGCTCTCCATTTCACAGTAAAGCTACCCTGTGTACATATACTACATTGGTGTACATCTGAGAACACCTAAACACTAATTGGAAGGCAGAGGAAAATATTTGAACTGCTGCAAAAGGGACACAGTTTTATATTATGTCTACTGTGCTCAAAAGCAGAACTCAAGACTCATAAATATTAATGCTCTATTTAAGACAGTTGGGTTCTCTCCCAATCAAATGTGTGAAGCAGATGAATCTGACATACAAACATGGAAAGCAGTATACTTAAGGGGGAAAAGACACTACCAAAGCCAAATCTAGTGTTCAGCTTTTCTTGCACAACTGTTATTTTCCATAAAGACTTACTTTTAAAGTTGCACTAGAAAATGATACTTTACATATCTCCCACTGTGGTTATGAAGAATGCATATATTAACTGGTTTTTTTTCAATTTCTATAATTATTTGCTTGGAAAGGAAACAAATTCCTTCAAGTGGACAACATTTATTGCATGTTCACTCAAACTATGCTTCATGGAAAGAGACAGATGCATTAATACCCCTTTTAACAACCTCACAATGTATTTACATAGCTTCAGAAAGGAGGAAGAAGTGATACTTTGCATATACACAATCAGTGGCTTTGTTTCAGTGAATGACAGAACAACAGCTTCAGTAGGTTGGATTTCTTTTATTGCCATTCATTAGTAGCATCTAGTACTTACCCCTTGGCCAAAAAGGCCCTCCAAAGCAGCTTACACAGATTAGAAGCATAACATCAATCAATCAATCAATCAATCATTCAATCAATTTTTATTGCACAATTGAATCCCCATCCCACCCCACCCCCCGGTAAAAAACAAACAAGAAAGGGCCTTGATGGTATACTGAACTGTCTATATTTCAGACTGTCTATGGGTGGCCAAGGAGTTTATAGAGAAACCTAATGCCCAGATAATTAAAGTGTTTGATTTGATCAATTCATTGATCTTTGAAGAACCTATTGTTCTTGCAATAGGTCAAAATGCATGCATTAGGCAGTTAAGTCCTGTTTTAGACAATGAAAGCAGAACAGCATCATCTGCATACAACAGTAGGGGACATTTGGTCTCTGCCAAGCTAGGTGGAAGGAAAGCTGGTGCAAGACAACAACCAATCAGATCATTTAAGTAGATACTGTATAAAATGGGGGTTAGCATACAGCCTTGGCGAACCCCCTTAGGAGCAGAGATCGATCGTCAAATTCCTTTCTATCCTGTATCTTATATGGAGCATGGTGCCCTGGTAGAGGCGTTTGATAAGATAGAGGATTCTCTTACCTATAGAAGCATGGGACAGCTTTAACCATAGTTTATCTCTTGGGATAGAGTCAATGGCAGATTTTAGGCCTATAAATGCAGTAAAAAGACCATTGGCATGAGAGGTCCTGTATTTCTCAGCAAGATGGTTTAAGACAGTGATCTGTCATTGACTTGCCCTTTCTAAAGCCTACCTATTCATTTTCCAAGATATTTTTATCCTCTATCCAAAAGGCTAGTCTTTAAATAACTAGCATAAAGCTTACCCACAGCCAAAAGTAAGTTGACTGGCCTGTAATTTGAGACTTCCTCTCTATCTCCTTTCTTAAAAATAGGTACAGTGGTACACTGGCTCACAAACATAATCCATTTCAGGACTCTGGTTGTGACCCAAATTGGTTGTGAGCCAAGTCACATTTCCCCATAAGGTTCAATGTAAATAAGGTTAATCCATTCTGTAACTATTTTTTTTAATCACAAAAATTTGAAGCAAAGTGACAAACAACAACAAAGATTGGGACCATCTCCTCCCCCCCCCCACCCCGAGCACGAGTGCAGTCATCTCCCCCCTCCCAGCATGACCGCAATCTGGTGATGTCCATGTGTAGAGCTGTCTCTTAGGATGTTGGAAAAAAGTGTTTGCTATGATCATCATATTCGCTTGACAAAATTCTGCCAGCCTTTGCCCTGCTTCATTTTGTACTCCAAGGCTAAACTTGCCTGTCATTCCAGTTATCTTATGGCTTCCTACTTTAGCATTCCAATCCCCCATGATGATAAGGACATCAGTTTTTGGTGTTATTTCTAGAAGGTGCTGTAGGCCTTCATAGAAGCAGTCAACTTCAGCCTCTTCAGCATCAGTGGTTGGGACATAGACTTGGATTACTGTGATGTTGAATGGTTTGCCTTGGATTTGAACTGAGATCATTCTGTCCTTTTGGAGATTGTATCCCAGTACTGCTTTTCCTACTCTTTTATTGATTATGGAGGCTATTCCATTTCTTCTGAGGGATTCTTGCCTGCAGTAGTATACCTGATGGCCGTCTGAATTAAATTCACCTATTCCTGTCCATTTTAGTTTGCTGATTCCCAAGATGTCGATATTCACTCTTATCTCATGTTTGACCATGTCCAGCTTATCTTGATTCATAGATCTTACATTCCAGGTTCCTATGGAGTGTAGGTCTTTACAGCATTGGACTTTCCTTTCATCACCAGATACATCCGCAACTGAGTGTCCTTTCGGCTTTGACCCAGTCGCTTCATTCTTTCTAGAACTACAAGTACTAGCCCTCTGCTCTTCCCCAGTAGGCCACTGGACACCTTCTGACCTGAGGGGCTCATCTTCCGGCATCATATCTCTTTGCCTTTTGGTACTGTTCATGGGGTTTCATGGCAAAGATACTGGAGTGGGTTGCCATTTCCTTCTCCAGTGGATCACCTTTTGTCAGAGTTCTCTACTATAACCCGGCCGTCTTGGTTACCCCTGCACAGCATAGCTCATAGCTTCTTTGAGCAACACAAGCCCCTTTGCCACGTCAAGGCAGTGATCAATCCACTTAGGACAACTTAGTTGTGATAGAGCTCCTGGGACAGGTTGTTCTGAAGTTAAAAAAAGCATTCAGAGCAGAAATCAAAGGGGCAGAGGCAGCAGCTGCGGCTCCCATGACTGAGGTTTTTAAAGTCTCTCTCACAGAAGAGTCAAGAAAATCTACCACCTTCTCAGCCCAATATAGCCTCTTATGTATAAGATTGGGAGATGTGTCTTGAAAGTGAGATTTAATGTTCAAGTGGACAGCATTTGATAGGGAAAGAGTGACGATGAGAGGAAAATGGTCACTATCAAGCCTATAGCCTACAAAGAATTCAGACACCCATCTAGACAAATTAAATGGGAAATCAACATAAATCTACCACACTGCTTCCATGCCCAGATACATAGGTGAATTCTGTATTTTTATCAAAAGGATTTGCATTTAAAATAATAAGGGTAAGATGGTTCACCGTTTGAGCCAAACAGATGCCACCATAATTCACCTTAAGACAAAAAATCTCATTATCAATGATGCCCCCTAAGAAAAGTATATTATTATTTGGGCCTAATCTCACATTAAAATCACCTATTATAAGTAGTTGGGGCTCTGGGGAATTTAGATGTTTTATACCATTCTGAGAGGGAAAGGCGGGGGATATAGACATGGATCAAGAGAAAGGACTTGGTTCAAAGATCAATGTAACCAACCACAGTTATTTTCCTACAGTGGGTTGGGGGCACTTAATAAATGCTTGAAGAGCTGCAGATATCAGTATTGCCAGGCTGGCCTTAGGACTACCTTTTTGTTTAGTGGACTCAGAAGGCATGTCATTTACTAAAAATCAATTTAAGTAGGGTCTTTTTTAGTGGCCCAAGTTTATTGAATAAGCATTGCATCATTGGCTCTTAAATAGCCCATAACCTTGGCATCTTTTTCCTTTCAGGCCCATCCAGCTATGTTCCATGAGGCAATTTTAAGCCTTTTATGTGCCTCCACCAAAATTTTCTGTTTATCCAAAAGATGGCTGTTAGGTGGTGAAGAGAAAGCCCTAACTAGGGAAACATCGTGCTGCAAAGACTTTCAGTATATCTTGATGATACGATTCAGCTCCCCATTCATATATAAAAACCACACCCAGATCCATTATGGGTGTTAATATACTCAGTTTTAGATGATACCACTTGAGATATTGGCAGGGAAGCATAATGTCCCAATTTTTCAAAGTGCAGATATCTTCTTTGCAGCCATTCCTCAGTGGTCATAGGGGCCTTTGAAGGGATAGTGAAAATGGATGCCTTAATAGTAGGGTAGTTCATTCCAAGCATGCTGTAATTTTTGCAATGACTGACAGATTTCACACTCTCCTCATTATGTAACCTTATCTGACTACTAGTTATCTCAATGCCGCAAGCCTGAGGTCCTGCATTCTTGTCTGTAGTCCCAAAGTAAATAAGAACATCTAATTGAGAAGACAGACTATAAATTCTTTCCTCTTGAGACTGTGGAGGCAAGGCAACACAAGAATTTAAAAGCTTCAATTCTTCTGAGTCATAAACAGGTCCTGTATAGTCTGTTGGTGTTGCCATTTTACATTCCGATTAGGCCTCTTGTAGTGATTAGCTTGTATGTCCGTCAGAATACTTAGTGGGCCAACCATATTAGGTCATCTATTCTTTCTTGGATGTTTCTTATGGAATACAACAATTGGTATAGCATTTTTGAAGAACCTAGTCGCTGTTAGGCCCACTTTAAAATTTTTATTCCTGTCCTCGTATAGTCTCTTAACATTCAGCCAGCACTCACATGTCACCATTATACAGAGATAGTAATCGTCATAAAACAAATATTCTATATTAATATTATCAATATTGAGAGACTGTGGGACTACTTTACTCAGTAATTCAAAAAATGGAGTTTGCATTGTAGAAGGGAAAGCAGGCTTTTAGGTTTTAGA